CGTCCATGTTTGTATTCACCGAGCGACTCCCGCCAGCGCAGAATTTTGATGAATGTTGATCTAGAATAACATAAAGGTCACATGAATTCTGACAGTCGCAATGTCACTCTCACACTGAGGTCGCACTGGAAAAAAAAAATCAGACCTGTATCTGATTTGGACCGCATATGAGAGTGTCCCGAATCAGAATTGGAGTGATTTGTGCTGTTCAAACTATCATAAAAAACCCAGATTTAAGTCATGTATGAGCACAAAAAAATCTGATCTGGGCCCCTTTTGCCCCAGAGTGTGAACGTAGCCATTATAAGGAACACAGACTTGATCAAAACTAGGTATAAAAAATAGCGTTATTGATCACATGACCTATTTCCAATTGGCACACAGTATTAATGACCTTCAAATGCCTAAATGTTACCATCCCTGCTACTGACACCACTTGCAGTCTGACATTTTGCGGTCATTCAATAAGAGATCAATGTTTTGTTCTTTGCCAGTCTGACAGAGAATCCTAATACTGGACATCAGGCCTTTATTATTCTGTTTAACCCACTGTGAAAAGATGGAGTCAACAGAAAGAGCAAACAGAAAGTCAAAGAAAGACTGAGCAAATAACTGTCTTTTCTCACTTAGCTGCAATTTCCCAAAACACCACCCAACATTTCACTTCTAGCAGTCTGGTAATCACTCCCTCTTGTGCTTAGATTGCCCTCATAAGATTATTATTATTTTTTTTCCAGTATTTTGAGCGACACATTCAGTAACCCTTTTAACTATTAACTAAAGTGCACTTCTGTGCTATTCACTTCTCTAGCAAAAGCCTAACTCCACATAATACCACACGATTAAAGATGATGAGCTCTTCTATCTTTGTCTACACTAGGAATAGACAGAGATGGATGAGGCGAGGTGGCACCGTACAAGCTCCACATTTTACTCATTATCTCATCGCAATCAAACATCACAGGTATAGCACGACGTACAGTGGGTTTCTGAGGTGATGCCAATGGGAGAATTGATCTGATGATGATATATTGATCATTAGAGAAACATCTTAAATTAGTTTTTTTCAGATGTGACCTAGATATACACCGAGCAAGACATTTTGCCTTTGAAAAATAACTCCTCAGTGCAAACATATATCCTGAGATGGTTAAATTGTGATACTAATATGTGAAGATTCAAATCAGTGAGATGAAAAATGAATCGTGGTTTCGTGGCGAAAAGACATCAGTTTCACTGAGGTAAATAAAAAAGGATTGTATAATCTGATAAAGAAAATACAGCTTGTAGCTTTTTGTCTGAGACAAAAAAGAATCTTTTTTCAGTCATAACTTGAGTCATTTTGTTAAATAAATTATGAGCAAATCGGATCGTAAACCTAGTATCGAGTCAAGTTCATCATTACATCCCGACTATTTTATGGAATACGCTCGTTTTATTTGGCATTTGTGTCTGCAATAAGACTATGTTTGGCAGATTTATTGGTCTAGTTCTTTTCATGAGAACACTGAATTTCTAGTCAAAAAAGTAGTGTTACAAAGGCTGTGTCATAAAAATAAAAATGTTTATCAATTACTTTCTTACTTACATATATTATTTATCTTATATCAACCTCATGTTTTACATCCTACTTATTCATACTTATACATATTATATATGCACATTTTATCCCTATTTACGTATGCTTTATACATTACATAATATTAAATATACATACTATATACATGTGTTTTTATTATACTATACATATATAATTTTCTTAAAATACATGTTAAGATTATATTATACCTGTACTGTGCAATTATCTGGCTCTATATAGCCTATATATCCTTTAAATTACATCTTTTAAGATAATATTTTACCATGTGTGTATTCAATAATCTTTGCAATTATCTCTGTGCAGTGTGCCATAAATCATATATGTACATAAAAAGGTGTATAAAGTGTACATAACATAATTTTCTATTTCTAATATATATTTTTAAATGTTATTTTTATTCATTGTGTTGTATCTTGAGTTGCTGTAACAAGCAAATATAAGTTTGGGATCATTAAGTCCGCGTTATCCTGTTTTACAAAGCATCAATCAACATTACCAAGTAATCTATAAGGAATTAATCGAGAGAGGTCTCTGCAGAAAATGTTGTTGACAATCATAATGTGCTGTTTACACAATAGCACAGGTTACAGCTATAGCATTATTACACCCAGAAACACTGGAGCTGAAGCATCCTGAAGATGTCTCGGCCTGGCTGCAATGCACATATATCTGACATTTAAAATGTGTACCAGCCTCTCACCAGCTCTCCTTTGAATCCTCCACAATGCCACACTGCATTATGTCTCCACGGTACATGCTGCATGCAACACGTCATGTATCCATGCCTGTGACTCCTCTGTGCAATGGAGGTTGTGTGTCTGTGTGTGAAAATGCCATTAAATCGCTATGGTTATTTTCCTCCCATGACTTGAGGGTAGCTTATCCATTTTAGACTCGGGGAGAGGAGGGTGGAGGGCAATTCACCACTCCAGCAAACGAATACGAGCAGTTATTGAGTGGGGAAATCACACGTACGTACTTGCCCTTGGCTTGTCACCGCCACCTTAAGACATCGGCTCGGTTCACGGTTGCCATGCAAACAGGTGACAGCCACAGCAGCCGTTACGTGACACGGGTCTGCTAACGTGGTGATGAGGGCTTTACTTTCTGTTGGTAGCTTGTACCGTTAGCCACTACCCAGTCGGACGACACCACCAAACACACACACACACACAGACAGAGAGAGAGAGGGAGAGAGAGGGGGGGAGAGAGGGGGAGAAAGAGAGAGAGAGAGAGAGATAACGTTACACTGACCACATTCCTCCAAAATATTGCGACGGTTTGTAACCGTTAGCTTTAAAACAGCCGTTTGGAATTTCTAGTTGCCAGTTAGTTAATGCTATCTGAGCTCCGCTAGCTAGCGCAAGTTAGCCCGTTAGGAGACGTTGCCGCTTGTGAGTTGGAGCAACACGCTGTTAAAAAAAAATAAATAAATAATAATAATAATAATAATAATAATAATAAATCCAGTTATCTTTCGCCGCCGTGTTCCCGTCGCGTCGGATAAGCCACATAAAGAAAGCAGTTAAACGTAAACTTACTCTGTGTCGACCAAGCGTGGCGCTCATACAGTTGTTACCGAGCCGTCCAGCGTCATAGCACGGGGGGGCTGAGAGAGACAGCTGGGGTTGTAAGGGAGGTGAGGGGGAGAGAGAGGGGGGGAGGGAGGGAGAGAGACGAGAGAGCAGGCGGGCGGGCGGGCTGTGGCGGACGCTTGGAGTCGGCTGGAGGAGAAGTTGCTCCGTTTTCAACATGGAGAGTCAGGAGTGGACCACATCCACATCCTCCTCCTCCTCCTCCTCCTCCTCCTCCCGCTGCTGCTGCGGTTCATCTGGCTGCTGCTTACACACACACACACACACACACACACACACACACGAGGGAGGCCTGGCGACCCCTGTGGCCGCAGCGGCGTACAACACCTGCTGCATGGCTCCAATGCAGATAAAACACACCGTGGAGATGAAGTTTGTTATTTGAAATCAAGTAAAAAGTGCAGAAGTTTTATCAGTATTAAAAGCGAAAATGTTATCACCTCAACTGGAATAAGAAAACCTCTACTTTCAGCTCAGTATTTGAGTAAATGTACTTACTTTTTACCCCTTGTATTTCATTGTTTTTATGATGCGTCCTTCTCTTTTTGCTTTAATTTGCTGGGACAGTGTGTCTTTGTTGTGTCTTTTCCTTCAACCTGAACGCTTATCAAAGCTTTGCTGACCTAAATGTACTTTTCAAATGATGTTCAGCCAAGTGAGAGCTTCATAATATTGCAGTGCAGGCCTCCTCGTGGTCTCAAAGACACTTTACAGGTCTTAACTTAAAGAAGGTCAAGAAAAGCAGGACCCCTAAACAGATATGTGGTTGTGTGTTCCTCCATTTACTATAATATGACACAAATCCTCTTTTTAATGCTTTCAAAGGCAGCAAAAAAAAAAAAAAGATCGCCTCAATCAGAAGCTGAAATATCCCGGTGTAATCCATTATGGTGGATTTACTGGCACATAAGCATTTGAGCTCATCATTAAATTTGGCTCACCCCGGTTATCTTTTGTCCTATTTTAATTCTGTATTTGCAGGTTGAACGGCTGTTATAACAGCTCCAGCTGTCTGTGTGTACTTTTCACTGCAACTCAGAGCATAGGAAACTAGAAAGATGCGTTCAAATGCAGAATCTATTTTTAGACCCAATTTTTGGATAGGAGAGACATGAAACAAGGATGATGTGGAGGAGTGGTGGGGAGAGATGGAGAAATGGGGGGAAAGGAGGGGGCATACTGCATAAGATGTGAGAAATATCAGGCTTGTTGAAGCAGCCTTATATTACCTCCGCCCTGTACTGTGTGAAAATGATTGCCCATAAAAAACACTTCTATATTGTACAATATCCCCCGAGTGTAGGCCTGATGTGAGCTGTAAAATTAGAAGTTTTTGAAGTCTCCGCGTAAAAAGCTTTTTCCTCCTGAAGTAAGAAACAGAAATGGCATTATTTATTCATCCTTTGAGGGTGCACTTAGCTACCTGCAACCTCAAAGTTGCTCTGAATAATGCAGAGGTGTGCCAGCTCACTCCTCCTCTGCAGCATGCAGCGTACGCTATTTGTTTGCTTCTTTTGATCTTTCCATTTGACTGAAACAATTTAGAAACTATCTGAATAATTATTATTAAAATTTATCAGCAGGGCTGCGACTAAAGTAGCTGTCAGACATAGGATGCAACGTGTGATTTGAATGATACTAGCTTGGGAAATGTTACACAACACAAAAACTAGAACGTTCTATGAGTGGCATCGGCTGAGACATTTGTGACGTTGCAACATTATGGTGAGAGTAAAAAGAAGATGTTGGGGACTCACACTCACTCACGCTGATTCAAACGCACACTACATAGTCGTACACAAATGTGGGGTAAAATGTGATAACGTCTTTTAATCCCATTTTGTTTTACAGATCGAAGGGTATGCAAATATTAAATGCTCTTTGCTTCTTTTACATTATTGCATTGTACCAGCAAGCATCTCATAAAGCAACAACATCCTAAAACTTTGTGACAACAACATAAGTGCTTTTCAATCATTAGGTACAGCATAATTCAATAAACATAAAACATGGACTTAAAAAATATCCATAGGCTAACCACAAACGTCAATTATCTTGAGAAAAAGTACCTGCCTCATGGAAGACTGTGCCCTTTTTGAAGCTGAAAAATAAAGCTTGTGCTCCTCTGGTGATTTTAACATCACAGGGAATGTCCATAGATAGACCAGATAGGCAGCAGGAAGTGACATAACATTGCTGTTTCTTTGAGGAATGTACAATGCAAAGAAGAAGGACATAAACAAAACAAAAAACAATGGATGTAACCTCCGAGTTCATCAAAGCACACACTGGTGCAGTATGAGGTTTCCTAACACCATACCTTCCAGTAAAAAGGTTCAGCTTTCATTGTTAGAGTTCCTGAGAGTTTGTTTGTGACCCATTTCTTTAATCTTAAAATGAAGAATCTAAGTAACAATGAATAGCAGTGAATAGCAAAATGTCTCAGTATCACAAAGCACTGGCCAAAATGTAATTATAATTATAATTAAAAAAAAAACCATCTCTATAGTTTAAAAAAGTGGACAGTGTAGAAAGACCAATGCATCCAGTGCATTATTCACTACAGTGCATACGAATACAAACATCTTGACAACAAACAAAACAAAACTCCTTCATTCAAAAGACATTGCACAGTTCAAATTGTCCTAAGAGGTGCAAAAATAATTGGCTGGATGATCTGAAAAGCTTCAATAAAATATGATATATTTAAGAAACGTAATCTTAAGGTTCCAACAACAAGGTACTATAACATTTCTTGTTTCTGTACAGGAGTGCCACCTATTGGTACTAAAGCATACAGGTTTTGATAAGGCACACAGTATTCATACCAGCAATTTTTTTGTGTACAAGGCAATTCCAAAGGTTCAATTAATTACAAACTTTTCTTTGATCAAAGTGTCTGTAATAATACATATACAGCATCCAACATATTACCTGAGCAAAACATATAATCATCAGTTAGTCATATACAGTAGTAAACAAGCAACAAACAGCTGAGCAATAAAAAAAAAAACCTGCATTAATAAGGGAGAATCCAAGTTTAAGTTTACATATAAATCTAAAATCCAAATATTTTTTGGTCATTGATTATGTCTACTATTGTATCTCCACATACATTCCCTTCCTTCATCAACCATTCAACATTTCTAACAAATAAATACCACAAAATAGAGGTTTAAATCCAGAAAAAAGCTACAAGGTTCCTTAACAGAAGTGTGACAGGTATAAAAAATAAATACAGCACAATCTGTTAAAGGCGTTCCCTTTACAAATGTCTGCTCAGTTTCTTTCTAAGAATAAAGAGAAGAGGACCTCAGGCCTATGCACGGTACCCGCTTTTGGGAGAATCTTTCTTTGGTTGAACATTCTCGTAAATAGAGAGTGCAGCAGTGTTTTGGTAGATTAGATCCACATTGGTTCCAGTTCTTGATCTGATGATGTCCATGGCACACTGGTTTAAGAACACATACTGATCCTGCAGAGACATTAAATACACTCAGCTGTAGAGTACTTTTTCATTTCAAACAACATGTACAGTAAAAAAAAACAATTGTGACAGAAACCACAGTGTATGTGACTGCGTCCTACCTCCGTCTGCACCATGAGGGGCCTGTGCATGCGCAGATCATGAACGATGCCATACACGTCCACAATATTTTCCCTTTCAATCTGGAAGATCAATCGGTCAATGGCTATGAAGGTACCTGTGCGCCCAACACCAGCACTGAGAGCAGACAACGTAGATACACAGACAGCGGAGGGAGGAGAGAAAGACAGAATATCAGATTCATAGTTTGTTTTTTTTCCGAAGCAGTTTTGATTTGAAGGCAGAAGTGGGCGTGTTGTATCGGACCTGCAGTGGACCACAGTAGGGGAGTGCCTGGAGTACTGGTCCATGTGCTCTCTGACCAAATGTCTGAAGCTGATGAGAAGCTCGGTGGTCTCTGGTACCCCGTGATCTGGCCAGGCTGTGAAGTGGAAGTGGCGCACCGCGCGGGTCTCTGCTGTTTTCACCTGAAAGATGAACACGCACACAAGCTCAAAATATTTGTGACTGAGAAATCAACATGTATGAATGCACAAAAGTTTTAATTATTATCATTCACTTATTGAGCTGATATGTTAACAAGTACTTCAACAAACACTGATGGTTGATGATTTTTACTGACACACACTGTTGATCTTTACCCTCCTAAAAATATTTTTTCCCCCTGGCATATGTAACATCTCACCACGTACATTTTTAATGTCAAAGTCCCTAATGGTCCAGTCTTCAAGTGGTATTTCAGAGGTTGTTGTCACAGTGATGTTTTCATAATGCTTGGTGCCAGAATCCCAGTATTTCTCACATTTTACCTGAAAAAAAAAAAGTTCAGATGTGATAAACTGCGATCAAACACAGAGATATCGATACTTTAAATATAAATCATGTAATGCCAAGAGTTTTATGGTGGTTCATATGTAATATAAAGCAGTTTGTGTCAATCAGATCAGCTTTTACTTAGAAAAATGTCTTCTGTAAACATTAGCAGGTAAATTCTAGTGGAGCAATGCTCTGCTAATGCATTGACTTGGCTATTTTTTTAAATTATACAATATATTGTGTGAAACTTGGACATTTATTTTGATATCATTTTCTCTTTTATTATCTGGTTTGACATTTTAGTGGTCATTTTGGTGGCATTTAGGATGAGATATCCAGCGTTCAGACACAACAGTAGTGTGACTAGCACCAGGAAGGACATTGTGCTCCCGCGTACGTCAACATGTTGCTGCTAGGCATTGTGTTTGCGTTGGTACTCACTCGTCCCTGTTCATTACAGCGTGTCAGCATGACCAGAGTCTGTACATTCTTCTCCCAGATCATCCTCCAGAACTCGTTGACTGTGGTGGGCAAAGGACCCTGAGCTGCAATAAACTCTTTCCTGGAGTTGTAACCCTGCCAAGAAAAACACAAGCTCAGCCCCAGAACACAAAAACCCATCCTGTTCAGTTTTCTAGGAGATTCTCAAGTGTTTCGAACATCGATGTGGATGATGGTGTAATAGTTATATAGCATGGTATTAAGCAAGAGAATGGGCAGTGATTGTCAGTACGCACCGACATGTAATTAGCATTGATGTAGTCGTCATATGGACTCCCATGGATTATAGAGAGTTTCACCCTAGAAGAGTCATCTAGGAAGTGAGAGAATAGAGTAAATGAAATGGAAAGATGTATGATTATTTTGATTTGATGATCATACGATGATACAGTTTAAAGAGTGAGGAGTGTTATTGTTGAAAGCAGCAGAGGTGGATTTGATAAGGTGACTCACAGGGAAGCACGTTGTTGTAGCGGTTCTTGGGCTTGTTATCCGCAGTCAGAGCATTTGTTTTCGACTGGCCTGTACCAACAGGCTTCAGGTCCTTTAAAAGAGAGGAAAGAAAAGTGTGATTGATGATTGGATGGCTCATTTTATGCCCAAAATCTGGTACATGTGCAGAAAAAAACTGCTTCATTTGTACCAGCCGTTATTTATTTCTAAATATTGCACTGCCAAGTGTCTAAAGGAGTTGGTCACAAATCAGTTCAATCCTCTTAATTATTTTGGCAATATATTGTCAAGTATTGCTGATGCCTTAATGTTGTCTACCACATTTGAATCCTTGCAAGCTTTTCAGGCTCTTACACTGTTGCATCAATTGAAATCACATTTTGTACATTTGCTCCATTCAGTGATCACAAAAGATAGATGTTAACATTGTCAGAATTTTTAAACCAGACAATGAAATATATCTACGGTAGAATAAACTGTATAAGATATTGGACATTGTTCTTAAATTCCCTGCTATGAATAACTAATTTCTGGAGCCCTTTGATATTATGCTTATGTTTTACCTCAAACTCTTCAGCAAAGCCACAGTTGGAGTCTGCTTTCTGCTTCCTGTAGTACGCCTCGTAGTCCTCCACCCTCACAGCCACACTTCTGCTCAAATGGACACCAGAGGTCAGACAAGAGCAATAAGTTTTGTCCCTGGATTGTGGTACAGTTCAGTCTGTTCCTGCCATAATGTGTTACATTTGCTAGATCTGATCATACTTTATGATTTAAAATGGATCTATACTTACACTTTGGCTCTGTAAAAAGAAACAGAAAAAAGCAAAGATGAACCACAGTTATAGACACAATTGTTATCCATTTATTTTAATCTTAAAAACACACACAAAACGAAACACTCACCTCATGGCATGAATCTCGATGTCTGATGATTCTTTTTGGGACAACCTACAGAACATGAACAGTGACTTTAGTCCTGTACACACTGACCTAATGCTGATTTTCATTAGTGCTGACAATGACAAACCTTTTCCAGTAGATAATGAAGCCGATGAGGATGATGAAGAGAACGCAAAAAATTCCCAATGTTGTTCCGACAGCAATGCCAGTGACAACGGCTTAAATGTTCACAAAGACAAAATAAGAGATTGATTAACATTTCCTCACATTGTATTGCATAGCAAAAACATTTAAAACAAAACAACTTTGGTTCTGAGTGTGGTTACCTGGGTTAGTTGGCAGTACAACATTGTACACGTGTGTTATTGAGAACACTGACTCTTGAATATTGACGTCTTTGTCATTCAGAATCAGACTTGTAAACAACACAATAGCAAATCTGCAAGATTGAAAAAAAAAATCAGTTAAGAGATTTTAAATAACCCATCAAGAAAGCAACAAGCCATTAAACATTTTGACAAGTTATTCTATTCAAGTTACTATCATTATAGTGTCTTCTGTTGCACACCACACCAGCATTCATAAACAATATGGTTTGTGTTGTTACCTGTATTTTCCAGTGTCCAGAGGGCCATTGGTGTAGCCGTGCCATTTGGATTCATCTCCTATGTGTATGCTGACGGTACCCTCTCCACTGCGTGTCTGGAAGTTGGTGTCTGTGATTGTTGACAGGTACACTGAAGTTTTCTTTGCCTTCCACTGCTCATAATTGTACCCCAAGTACGTTGTCAAATCAGAAGTGTTCACTGGAAGAAAAGGAAGTACCAAAAACAGCAATTGGCTTAATTGACAGGGAGGTTCTATTCATGAGTCTAAGTCAGTTATAAATACTTAGACTCGGCACTAAAAGATTACAACTATGACAACATTTTCCGTGACAGTAAGGAGAGAAAAAAACAAACTCACCCTCGTTGTCATCTGTCACCAGAACTCCAATATTTGTGATTGGCCCATTTGTGCTGTTCAGCTGTGTGCGGTCAATCTCAATGGAGAACCTGTTGTATAACATTCCACTCACCTTCAACAGTGCATCTAAGTCGTTTGGAATAGGTGGGTCTTTAAAAACACATGAATGGGAAAAGATTAGATTTTGAGAAGTTTTGCATGTTTGAATATGTTAGTTTATACTGCAATTCTAATGTTCACAATTTAGGCTGCAAATGTAAATTATTTGTTCATGACTCGCCTGATTAAATAAAGATTAAATTAAATAAAAAAATAAAAAAGAAAGCATAATGTCTTACTTGTAACGCCTGTCATGCAGAATTCAGACACAGCAGCGCTGGGATTTCCACAGCTCAGAGTCTTCAAAACCAGCTTGTACTTAGTGTAGTGACGAAGGTTGGACACAATGTTATTACAACAGGAGCTTGTAGAGTAGATGTTACTGTCATTTACACTGATCTGGAAGCCAGTGTAGTTGCCATTGGGAGTGGTCCAGGACAGGCTGAGTTCTGCATTTGTTTTGTTTGGACCAAGGCATTCTAAGTTTATCACTGGGCTTGCATCTGCAGCATCAAACAGAAATGAATGTCAAGAAAAAACCTGAATAAAACTGTCCATTATATAAAAGTATATCATGATTTTTTTCTTTTCAGTGTCCTCAGGTGATCTAAAATGTATCTTTGCTGTAATGTCCTTTCCATTATTTTATAAAATGTGACCATCTGTCATCAACCTAGGTGTGCTTAACCGTACTAAGGATTCACTTTTTGATTCATAAATAATTCTGAGTAGCTACTAAATCCAATTACATCTTAAAACTCATGGTACCCTCACAGAGACAGTTATTTGAAAATATTTGATTGCAGCCCATGTGAAATTAATCAATCTGTTATGACCATACCTGTGCAGTTGGAAATCCAACTTGGTTCCCCCTTTGTTTTATCAGACGTCTCTGTGGTAACACTGAAGTCATATGGGCTCCCAGGAACCAGGTTAGAGATTGTATGCTCAGTCCCCTTAATTAGTACTGAGTTAGTAACGTGCTTATCAGGGCTTTGCCAGGTCACACTGTAACTATAGCTTTCCTTGTATTCGTCAGGATTGCCCCACATGACCGTGATGCTCTCCTCTTTTGTAGAAGTTCTGATATCCTTCACACTGAACGGTTCTGATTGTTTAAAAGAAATTTCACAGATGTAAGATAAAACAGGAAGATGCATTTGCTTGCACATTGCTCGGGTACAGAAATAAAACCCTTACTTGTGGTGACCATGATCTGAACCTTCTCGCTCTCAAAACCCATGACACCCACTGTTGCCACGGAGATGTTATAGGGAGTCCCAGAAAGCAGGGAGAAAAAAGTATGACTGGTGTCCGTGATATTGTTATATCCGCCACCCGGTGGCGTGTTAGTCAAGTGGTAGCAGAATGATGCACCGGTCATCAGAGGAGCTTCCTTCCAGCTGATGGAAATGGAGCTGTTTGTCTTTTTCTGGATCTCAATTGGCCCGGGAGGATTAGGAACTGGTGGTGAGGGGGTTGCAGAATGTGAACTTCAACAAGTAACATCATTCTAAAAAATCTTCAACTGCTGACTAAAATATGAATGCTTAAGGGCTGTACTCATAGTCTTTTCTCTCAAGTATCACACACATAGATTTCACATTACTGCAGGTCTTTTATCAAGGCATACCGTAACCTTTTTATTTGTCCTCGCTTTCACTTCACTACAATATACATTCAATTTATTGGGATTTATTTTCCCTCCAAAATTGTCAAATTGTTTTTCTTGTATTATTCTCTTTCTGTGCATGAGTGCTGCGTGCAGAAGGACCTGTATGATGCCAGAGAAGCAACCATTATCATGCCATAGTGCATCTTGACCTTAAAAGCACCATCAAGGCTTGAGCATCGGCTGTACTGCAGTACCACATAGTGACGGATGTAAACTTGATCATAAAAAAATAAAGACAAACAATATTTCACTGTGGGGATTCCCAAATGACACGAAAGCTTCAAATAAAGTAAACTGAATAAAAACTATTGGATGCCTGGAAGACAGGCGATCCCCAAAAGAAAAGTAAAAACAACAAAAAACATGTAAACGTATATAAAAACACATTTTTGGGAAATTCGTGAATATAAAACCACTGAAAACTTTAAAATCTAACAAATGTATCATACTTACAAGTTGCATTGGTGACGAATCCAGATGATGCGTTGAAGGGTCCACTATAAGTGATTACCCTGGCAGAGTAAAGCCTTCCAGCGGACAGGTTCGAAAATAGCCACATGGTATCGTTCAGCTCAGAGCTCAGCAAATCCTTCTCAAAAAGTGTGGAACTTATGTTTAGATAAACCTTATAAAACTCCACTCTCCCAAGAGGTTTGGTCCATGACACCAGGACTGAACTATTGTAGCCCTGGCTGGAGATACTGGGTTGTACCATCTCAGGCTCTGTTAATGTGCAAAGGAGAGAGAATTAAAGCTGAACCAACCACCTGGTCAATTTGAAATAAAGAAACAGAAACAACAGGTAAGAATCTTACTAGTGTACTGAGAGGTGCAGCTTGCTTCCCCTTCGATGCCATTCGCTGCCCTGACAAACACACAGAAGGTGCAGTTGCTCCCGGGGGTGAGCTCTGAGACTGTGATCTGTGAGTCTTCCGTGAGCGAATTGTTTTGGTAGCCACAGCCTCTAGTCTGGACCCGATATGTATAGTTATTCTTGTACTCCAGTGGTTCCATCCAATTCAGGTATATAGCAGTTGTGTTTAAAGTTTCAACCTCCAATGAACGAATACTATATGGCCCTACAAACAGAGCAGAAAGTGTTTCTTGTGAATAAACATAAAGAATATTTCATATTCTGATAAACTTGTTTAGTTGTTATTTGGTTGTTTTGCTCACTAGTTTGGGATTAATGTCACTACTTCCCAGATGTAGGAACAGTATCCTGGATAGGATATATACATACGTGTAAAGTAGGACACTGTCACGGGATCTGCCTGAGTGAAATCTTTGGTCTGTGTAGTGACAATGAAGATGTAGTTGCTCCCAGAGAGAAGACCAGTGATTGTGTATGTGGTGTTCGAGACATTCCTAGATGTAGAAATGGAGCTGTTGGAGACCTGCACCTCATATGAGTAGTGGGGTTTGCTCTCTGGCTGCACCCACACCAATGTCACTGCATCTGTGGTAATTACTGTCTGAGTCAGCAGCAAGGTTACAGGATATGGTTCTGAGAAAATGAGACAGAGGAGACACAGTGGATATACAGAAATGGGTTGTGTTTTCATGTGTCATAGAGTTGTATAATCGCCCCACAAGCATAAGCGATTACAGGTTTTACAATTGTTTTTGTACTTGGAAGTCAATATGCTGTCTTAATTATGTGCATAATATGTCCCTTGGTGCTTCCGAATGGCCTTGACATGATACCCACACCCCAATCTGGCTCATAAAGTAGTTCAATAAAGATGATTTTTCATGCATCAAGGTTACAATCATAAATAAAACAAAGACCAAAGTTGTTTATAGACAAGAGTAAAATTAACACTAAAACCTGACTGAAATAAAAAAGGCACACAAAGAATCCTGAAGTTTATCTAATAACAGTAATAACCCCAGTGTGGGTGTCAATCACACTCACTGGTATATTTTTTTGCTGTCACTGCTGTGCTCTCATATTTCAACACGCCTACAGTAACAACAGAGATGTTGTAGGGGCTTCCAGACTGAAGACTGTCCAGCGGGAACCAGTTGTTTTCAGTCAGAAAGGAGCCGTTAGAGGTGGACACACTGAAGTTGTACTGATGATGGTCCATGTCCTCTGGCAGGGGCCAGGTAAAGTTGATGGAATTCACAGTCTGAGACGCCATGATGGGTCCAGGAGGGTTGGGAACTGAACAGGACAAGAAAAACTGTTTAATTTGTGTTTGATTCAACTACAGGCAAATTTTAAAATAAATATTGGTCAAAATGCAGAACATACACAATGTACATATGATATGCACAAGTTTATAAGTCATGATATTGATGTAACTCACATGTTGCGTTGCAAACACTTGTAGAGATACTCTTAAAAGGCCCACTCTCGGTGACCACTACCACACAGTAAACCACTCCTGGTGTCAAGTTCATAAACAGAGTGTTTTGAGTAGAGTTACTCAGATCCGAGACATTTTTCACCGACTGGCTGTCTGACTGTCTGTATAGCCGGACAGTGTAGGAGTCCACCTGCCCTGCTGCAATCGTCCAGCTCACTGACATATTAGTTGTGCTTCCTAAGGCTGTGATGTCAGAAACTACTTCAGGCACTGTAGGAAAAAAAAAAAAAAAAGCAGTATGCATTTAGCCAGAGCTAATGAACACACATTGATCGAATAAATATTGTTATGTATTCTAAATGCAATCAAGAAGTGCATTGTGACCATAATCAGATTTGATTCAAGTATTTCTTGGATAGTTAATGTGACAGTTTTCTAAACCTGCAATTTTTCCACGTTTATTATTTGTGCAGTAACTTTTCTAAAATCCAAAAGTTTGTCTCTAAAGGGGCTCTCCTCTAACTTTACACATTGAGGTGGACTTGGAGAAAAAAGAATGATATCATCACACACCCTTTCTCATCTTTCAAAACAATTATAATTTAATATATGGAAACAAGTTGCCAGAATGGGACATAAAGTGGCTTTAGACTCACCCATATGAGAGAACAACAACCTGATGAATGTGGCCTCATTTTAAACCTCTTAAAATGACTATCTGTATGTTTCCTTTCTAACGATTATTAAAAATTAAAAATTAAAAAAAAAAAAAAAATTAAAATGAAACTTAAAATGTTAACAGAAACATTAATGGAAATTATAGGCTCTAGTATTTTTGGATATGGACACAAACAAAAGGATAAAAGCGATAATGTCGGCCTCAGCTGCTGGAATTCCATTTATTTTAAGTCCCCCAACTTATTTAAGTGTAAACCGTTGGAGTACCCCTATAAAGTAATCACCAATACATGACTGTGTTTCATTGGACACATTGCATTTAGCCACACATTATAGTTTCCGACAATGTATCATATATTAAAAAAAACGACTTGAGACATACTTGTGTAATGTGATGTTGTTGCCACTTCTGACTTGACCCTCTCTACGACTGTAAACACATTAAAAGTGTAGAATTTTCCAGGGGTCAGAGCAAAGAAGGTGTAATTTTGAGTTTCAGTTGACTTATTCTGAACCATAATGCCGTCCTGGTACGCTATCACCCAGTAGGAGTAGGAAGGCTTGTGATCACTTTGACTGAGCCACGTCAGCCGGATGGATGTCGTGCTCACATTCTCCACTGTGAGGTTGGTCACTGCTTTGGGCACTACAACAAATACAGCAGAGGGTTGCGTAAGACCAAAGACCGCAGTAGAAAAATATATTTTACATTTTAGTGGTATCGTTAATTGTTTTGAATAAATAGGACATTTAAATGTTCTGATAGTACAGCATTCATTGGCAGTGTTTTAATATAAGGCCTTACTTGTGTAACTGAACGTCTGTTCCTTCGTGGATTCAATATTTTCTGCTGCTATTGTTGTGACATTGATACTGTATCCTGTTCCTGGCTCCAGGTCTGGTACTACAGTGCTGTTACTGTTGACTGTAATGCTTTCAATTAAAAATCCCGTAGTATTGTAGGTTTGAACCAAGTATTTGTAATACTGTTGGGCTCCCGGCGGGTATGACCATGTCACTTCCACTGAGGTAGTGGATTTAGGGATGGCCTTAAGTTTGAACACAGGGTTGGGAACTAGGAAAACAACAAACACGGGAAAAGTTAATTAAAAAGGAATTAAATAAGAACAGATTTACATCACATACGTCACCTTTATAATAAGTGTTATATAATATACAGTACAGTGTTCATTGGTGCTGGCCAGACATAGCAATGGGCTATTCTAAAAATAGTGAAACAAGTGCTAAATGAATTTGATCCCTCCAAGCAATAGAGACAATTATATGTCCTTCAGTTTCTCCTTGTTGTACTTACGGGTGAAAGCAGAAATAAGGACAACTCCGCTCCTTAAATTGTCTGGTCCAACTGTTTCCAAAGTTATATTGTAGGAAGTTCCAGAGGAAAGCAGGGACAGCTCTGTGTTATTGACGGTGGAATTTGCTGTAAGTACTTCTCCTCCCTCTGGCTGGTAGGTGATATGGTAGCTGATGTTTGGAACGTCCTCCATCAAAGCAGGAGTCTGCCAATTCAGAGAGAGCGAAGAGTTTGTCCTACCGCTAACGGTGGGTGAACCAGGAGGTGTGGGATCTAAGAGGTATGAATAACACAAACAGTTATTACTTTGTATTTCTTTATAATGTTAAAATTAAAACAAACTATACACTCAAATAGACACTAAAGCTGCTAAAGGGCATTTCATTAGCATGGTGTTGCCACAAAATGTCACATTAAGATTCAACCAAATTTCTACGGGTCATCAAACTACATACACTTGCAAAACATTACTTGAAGTATAACTCTGCACAAGATCTAAAAACAAGACCATGAAAACAATTACAGTACAGGGTGTTGAACTTACAAGTGGCTATAGATGTCTTCTCAGACGTGTCATAGAAGTTTCCAGCCACAGCGGTCACTGTGATGACAAAGAGTCTCCCGGGTTTTAAACCAGAAATGTTAGCCCTGTTGTCTGTTGTTTCAATACTTGGCTCATTTGAGATGTTCACCATATAGCGATCAACCCTCCCTTTAGGCAAAGTCCAGTTGATATTGAGGTAAGTAGTTCCTTGTTCTTCAACCATAATATTCACAGGCTTTTCAGGTCCTATACAATAAAGAAAGAAGTATAAGAAGAAGCACTTTTTTAAAATGGTGCCAACATACAGAAACACCATTAACACCGACACTGTGTTAACTAATGCTAGCAAAACTATATTGAGCACGAGGGCTGCAACTAACAATTACTTTGATAATTAATTCATCTGCAGACTATTTTCTTGATGAGTGAATTAACCGTTTTGTCTGTAAAGTCTCAGAAAATTGTGAAGAAAGTTATCATTACAATATCAGGGAAACCTGAGGTGAGATCTTCAAATGTTTGTTTTATCTGTTTGCAGTCACATAAAACAAAGAAAATCACCAAATCCTCACATTGGAAAAGCTGGACTCAGATAACGTTTGGCACTTTTGCGTGTAAAATGACTGAAGCAATTGATTGAATATCAATATGGCTATTATTATCAATTTCAATGATCAAAGTTTCTGTTTAATAAGTAACTGATTAATAAACTAATTGTTACAGCTCTACATGCATCATAATGGTTTGTCAATATATCTGTTTTTAGCTGCCTTCACAATTTCCGACAAACCCAATATAACTATGGGTCAACACTTTTTAAGTCCTCCTATTTAACATTTTTAGTTAGTATATAAGCAAGTAATACATGCTTTGTAATACACTATGATGCATAAAGAATAAAAGTGTTCATGAATGCATTTATGTCAAAAACTCCTTCTGTGGGCATCCATATGTGGAAGATGGTGAACACACAGATAATGACTAAAAATATATTAAAAACACAATTGTAATAATATAAAATTTGTCTTCATAGAAGTTACAGTGTGATATAGACAAATGACTACATATTGTGTTTATATACTGTTTTATAAATGAGTTACAAACGTCAGCAGCTTGACTGACTTCAGAATTTTGGCTCTTTAAACTGTTTGTATGAGGGACTTACTTGTGTAGGTAGTTTTTGTGATCGTTTCTCCTTCATTTGAGGAAGCAACAGCAGTCACTGAAATGCTGTACACGAATCCAGGCGTTAAATCTTCAATAGTAAAGTACGTATCCGTAGTCGTGCTATTTAAGCTGTCTGCTGTTGCAGTCCACTGAACTATGTACGAGGATGCATTGCCCTCTGGTTGAGTCCAGTTCAGAGACACAGAGGATGTTGTGACCTGAGTGACTGTCAGATTCCTGACCACAGCAGGTTCTGAAAATTCAAGAAGTAAAATAAAATCAGCATATTGTTTGCAGCTTTCCAGCATTTTCAAGCAAAATGTGTACAGACTCTTATAACAATTGTAGATTTTGAATAAAGAAATACATAAAGTGTGGCTTACTTGTGACTACAGTGAATATGTAAGGCTCTCCTGATGTATTATCTCCGGCAAAAGCAATGATTGTGATTGCGTAGTTGGTGCCAGGTATCAAGTCTGATAGCATAGCAGAGGTAGAATTTGTTTCTCTGGACATCGGCAATCCACCATTATGCCATTCCACCTTGTACTTAAACACCTCACCAGGAGGTGAGGTCCAGGTCAGAGAGATGGAGGAGGTTGTTATGTTCACTACATCTTTCGTGATTTTACCAGGTTCTATGGAGGAGAGGAGAGGAAAGCAGAGGAGAGGACAGAAAAATCAATCCACAAGCTAGAAACGAATAGAATTAAATTACAAAATTACATCATGAGCAAAAATATTATATTGCTAGTGGTTCGGAGCAGGAACCATGGTCCAGCACGAGCACCGTGTGGTAACTTACTTGTGTATAGAGTAACAGATGTACTTTGTCCTTCAGTAATATTGTCATCTGCCACCGCAGTAACAGTTATTGTATACTGGACACCAGGAATCAGGGTAGAAATGTTTATATGTGTTTGAGTCACATTGTCACTTTGAGTTATATTTCCATCAGTCCACTGTACTCTATAGAAAGATTTCTTTCCCTCTGGTTCAGTCCAGTTCAGAAACACAGAGGATGTTGTGATTTCAGTGGAAGTGAGATTCGTGACAGCTTCAGGTTCTGTGAGTGAGAGGGGTGAAAGGGGTGAAATAGATAGATGAAGAGTCAATAGATTCATCCTCTGGAGGCCATGAATGTTTGCAAAAAATGTCACGGCAAACCATTAAGTAATTGTGGAGATATTTTAGTCTGGACCAATGTAGTAGACAGACAGACAGATCAACATTCCCTGTCCCCTGACACTGAAGTCAATTTGACATATTGGCCAAACTTTGTAACCACTGCAAAGATATCTGTCATGAGATGCACACTGGCACAAAAAGACTGTTTCCCAACAGGTTACATTGTGAAAGAAGTGGCTGTAGAACAGAGATAACCATTTTTTGGACAGTCACAACTCCCCCAAATCAGAATGTTATCCATTCAGTCCAATGACATTTTGAACATCAAGAAACACGATTTGATCATTTTATCCCCTAAGAGTTAACGTAAGACTAAACTGGACGTTAGCTGTCTCAGCTGGCCGAATTCTATGGTGTGCACTGTGGCAGATAGAGCATGCACAATATGAATTTATGTGGTTAATTCCTACACAGCAGGAATTGATAATAATAATAATAATAATAATAATAATAATAATAATAATAATAATAATAATAACATTTTATTTGTAAAGCACTTAAAATAATAAAATAATCTCAAAGTGCTACAGAAATCATATTAAAACACATTAAAATCAGCAACAGAATAAAAATACAAGTGATCTAAAATCTAAGGACAACTAAAAGAACGCCTGCCTGAACAAAACCGTTTTAAGCCCTTTTTTAAAAGTGTCCACAGATTGGGGTTTTCGGAGGTGTTCAGGTAGGGAGTTCCAGATGCGAGGAGCAGTGGAGCAGAAGGCTCTGTCTCCCATGGTGCGGAGTCTTGAGCGGGGCTGATGGAGGAGGTTTGTGCTTTGGGACCGGAGGTTACGGGTGGATGAGTGAGGGGTAAGGAGGTCTTTGAGGTATTGCGGGGCGTTGCTGTAGATGCAAAGGTGAGTGATGAGGGCGATCTTGTATTGAATTCTTGAGGTTATGGGGAGCCAGTGGAGGTTCTGAAGAATGGGGGTGATGCGGTCGTATTTGCGGGTTTTCATCAGAGTTCGGGCAGCACAGTTCTGAATGAATTGAAGTTTTTGAAGGTGTTTATTAGGTATACCTATGAGCAAGCTGTTACAGTAGTCAAGCCTGGAGGAGATTAAGACGTGGACTAGTTTTTCTGCGTCAGAGAAAGTGAGGAAGGGGCGGAGTTTTGAAATGTTCTTGATATGGAAAAAGCAGGTTTTATACAGATGTTTGATGTGTTTTGCAAAGGTCAATTGTGGGTCCAGCTTCACACCGAGGTTGGTAACTGTGGTTGCGAAGGGGATGTCTTGACCGGAGAAGGAGATGGTGGTTATGGGTTATGACTGGACCTGATGAGGGGTGCCAATTTGAATGGCTTCAGAATGACTGTTTTGACCTCATGTGCTACTAAAAGGTTTAAATAGTAATGAACAGAGTGAGACTCCAACGCTGTCCCGAGTTCTCTTTATACATCAATGATGTAAATTCTTACTTGTGTATGGAGTAAAAGATGTGCTCTGTCCTTCAGTAATTTTGTCATCTGCCACTGCAGTAACAGTTATTTTATACTGGACACCAGGAATTAGGTTAAAAATGTTTGTCTGTGTTTGAGTCACATTGTCACTCTCCTTTACATTTCCATCAGTCCACTGTACTCTATAGAAAGATCTCTTTCCCTCTGGTTCAGTCCAGTTCAGAAACACAGAGGATGTTGTGATTTCAGTGACAGTGAGATTCCTGACAGCTTCAGGCTCTATGATTGACAGAGGGGTGAACGCCATGGAGAAAACATTACAGTGAAACATGATTTATCTATGAGAAAGCACAGCAATAACGTCATGGGAAAAAAGTTTAAACTTTAACTGACTACAATGCAGATAGCAAACTACTACACATCTTACTTGTATACAGTGAAATTGTCTTTGCATCTCCTAAAGTCTCCTGATCTCCAGCCACTGTAATGACAGTGAAAGTGTACTGCTCTCCTGCAGTCAGCTCAGAGATGTTTATATATGTGCTGTTCACACTACGATTCTGATTTAAATATCCACCAGTCCACTGTACTCTATAGAAAGATCTCTTTCCCTCTGGTTCAGTCCAGTTCAGAAACACAGAGGATGTTGTGATTTCAGTGGAAGTGAGATTCGTGACAGCTTCAGGTTCTGTGAGTGAGAGGGGTGAAAGGGGTCAAATAGATAGATGAAGAGTCAATAGATTCATCCTCTGGAGGCCATGAATGTTTGCAAAAAATGTCACGGCAAACCATTAAGTAATTGTGGAGATATTTTAGTCTGGACCAATGTAGTAGACAGACAGACAGATCAACATTCCCTGTCCCCTGACACTGAAGTCAATTTGACATATTGGCCAAACTTTGTAACCACTGCAAAGATATCTGTCATGAGATGCACACTGGCACAAAAAGACTGTTTCCCAACAGGTTACATTGTGAAAGAAGTGGCTGTAGAACAGAGATAACCATTTTTTGGACAGTCACAACTCCCCCAAATCAGAATGTTATCCATTCAGTCCAATGACATTTTGAACATCAAGAAACACGATTCGATCATTTTATCCCCTAAGAGTTAACGTAAGACTAAACTGGACGTTAGCTGGCTCAGCTGGCCGAATTCTATGGTGTGCATGCTCTATGAGCCACTGTGGCCCATAGAGCATGCACAATATGAATTTATGTGGTTAATTCCTACACAGCAGGAATTGATAATAATAATAATAATAATAATAATAATACATTTTATTTGTAAAGCACTTTACATAAAATAATCTCAAAGTGCTACAGAAATCATATTAAAACACATTAAAATCAGCAACAGAATAAAAATACAAGTGATCTAAAATCTAAGGACAACTAAAAGAACGCCTGCCTGAACAAAACCGTTTTAAGCCCTTTTTAAAAGTGTCCACAGATTGGGGTTTTCGGAGGTGTTCAGGTAGGGAGTTCCAGATGCGAGGAGCAGTGGAGCAGAAGGCTCTGTCTCCCATGGTGCGGAGTCTTGAGCGGGGCTGATGGAGGAGGTTTGTGCTTTGGGACCGGAGGTTACGGGTGGATGAGTGAGGGGTAAGGAGGTCTTTGAGGTATTGCGGGGCGTTGCTGTAGATGCAAAGGTGAGTGATGAGGGCGATCTTGTATTGAATTCTTGAGGTTATGGGGAGCCAGTGGAGGTTCTGAAGAATGGGGGTGATGCGGTCGTATTTGCGGGTTTTCATCAGAGTTCGGGCAGCACAGTTCTGAATGAATTGAAGTTTTTGAAGGTGTTTATTAGGTATACCTATGAGCAAGCTGTTACAGTAGTCAAGCCTGGAGGAGATTAAGACGTGGACTAGTTTTTCTGCGTCAGAGAAAGTGAGGAAGGGGCGGAGTTTTGAAATGTTCTTGATATGGAAAAAGCAGGTTTTATACAGATGTTTGATGTGTTTTGCAAAGGTCAATTGTGGGTCCAGCTTCACACCGAGGTTGGTAACTGTGGTTGCGAAGGGGATGTCTTGACCGGAGAAGGAGATGGTGGTTATGGGTTATGACTGGACCTGATGAGGGGTGCCAATTTGAATGGCTTCAGAATGACTGTTTTGACCTCATGTGCTACTAAAAGGTTTAAATAGTAATGAACAGAGTGAGACTCCAACGCTGTCCCGAGTTCTCTTTATACATCAATGATGTAAATTCTTACTTGTGTATGGAGTAAAAGATGTGCTCTGTCCTTCAGTAATTTTGTCATCTGCCACTGCAGTAACAGTTATTTTATACTGGACACCAGGAATTAGGTTAAAAATGTTTGTCTGTGTTTGAGTCACATTGTCACTCTCCTTTACATTTCCATCAGTCCACTGTACTCTATAGAAAGATCTCTTTCCCTCTGGTTCAGTCCAGTTCAGAAACACAGAGGATGTTGTGATTTCAGTGACAGTGAGATTCCTGACAGCTTCAGGCTCTATGATTGACAGAGGGGTGAACGCCATGGAGAAAAAATTACAGTGAAACATGATTTATCTATGAGAAAGCACAGCAATAACGTCATGGGAAAAAAGTTTAAACTTTAACTGACTACAATGCAGATAGCAAACTACTACACATCTTACTTGTATACAGTGAAATTGTCTTTGCATCTCCTAAAGTCTCCTGATCTCCAGCCACTGTAATGACAGTGAAAGTGTACTGCTCTCCTGCAGTCAGCTCAGAGATGTTTATATATGTGCTGTTCACACTACGATTCTGATTTAAATATCCACCAGTCCACTGTACTCTATAGAAAGATCTCTTTCCCTCTGGTTCAGTCCAGTTCAGAAACACAGAGGATGTTGTGATTTCAGTGGAAGTGAGATTCGTGACAGCTTCAGGCTCTGTGAGTGAGAGGGGTGACAGAGCGGTCAAATGGATAGATGAAGAGTCAATAGATTCATCCTCTGGAGGCCATGAATGTTTGCAAAAAATGTCACGGCAAACCATTAAGTAATTGTGGAGATATTTCAGTCTGGACCAATGTAGTAGACAGACAGACAGATCAACATTCCCGTTCCTGGAGCCGTGCCCCTAGCAGGGTTAAAAATTACATATCCAACCCTATCTGTGAAACTAAAAGGAAGGCTTCTGAAATCTGTGCTACACTAAATTTATACAACACAGATCCAGCACATACACTAAAGCCCTGAGGCAAAAGATGAAATCATTGCAGTTTATTATCCACCAGGTTTTCTCACCAGACTTCCTGACAGTATGAACCATTTCTACATTTAGCCCCAATGAAGATCACTAGACACTGAAGTCAATTTGACATATTGGCCAAACTTTGTAACCACCGCAAAGACATCTGTCATGAGATGCACACTGGCACAAAAAGACTGTTTCCCAACAGGTTACATTGTGAAAGAAATGGCTGTAGAACAGAGATAACCATTTTTTGGACAGTCACAACTCCCCCAAATCAGAATGTTATCCATTCAGTCCAATGACATTTTGAACATCAAGAAACACGATTCGATCATTTTATCCCCTAAGAGTTAACGTAAGACTAAACTGGACGTTAGCTGGCTCAGCTGGCCGAATTCTATGGTGTGCATGCTCTATGAGCCACTGTGGCAGATAGAGCATGCACAATATGAATTTATGTGGTTAATTCCTACACAGCAGGAATTGACTGTTTTAACCTCATGTGCTACTAAAAGGTTTTCATAGTAATGAACAGAGTGACGACTCCAACGCTGTCCCGAGTTCTCTTCATACATCAATGATGTAAATTCTTACTTGTGTATGGAGTAAAAGATGTGCTCTGTCCTTCAGTAATTTTGTCATCTGCCACTGCAGTAACAGTTATTTTATACTGGACACCAGGAATTAGGTTAAAAATGTTTGTCTGTGTTTGAGTCACATTGTCATTCTCCTTTACATTTCCATCAGTCCACTGTACTCTATAAAAAGATCTCTTTCCCTTTGGTTCAGTCCAGTTCAGAAACACAGAGGATGTTGTGATTTCAGTGGAAGTGAGACTTGTGACAGCTTCAGGCTCTGTGAGTGAGAGGGGTGACAGAGCGGTCAAATGTATAGATAAAGAGTCAATAGATTCATCCTCTGGAGGCCATGAACGTTTGCAAAAAATGTCATTGCAAAACATTAAGCAATTGAGGAGATCTTTCAGTCTGGACCAATGTAGTAGACGGACAGAAAGATCAACATTGCTGTGCCTGAAGCCTATACGTGAAACTAAAAGGAATGCTCCTGAAATCTGCACGATACCAAAGAGACGTTCCATCAACAATATCCAGAGCTACAACACAGATCCAGCAAGTAAAGTACAGCTCAGAGTTAAAAGAGGAAATCACTCCAGAGAGGTTTCTCCACCAGATTTCCTCAGCAGACTTCCTGACAGTATGAACCACATGTAAAGGCTTACTTACTTGTGTATCGAGTTACAGATGTACTCTGTCCTTCAGTAATGTTGTCATCTGCCACTGCAGTAACAGTTATTGTATACTGGACACCAGCAGTCAGGTCAGTAATATTTATATGTGTTTGAGTCACATTGTCACTCTCATTTACATTTCCATCAGTCCACTGTACTCTATAGAAAGATCTCTTTCCCTCTGGTTCAGTCCAGTTCAGAAACACAGAGGATGTTGTGATTTCAGTGACAGGGAGATCATTGACAGCTTCAGGCTCTGTGAGTGACAGAGGGGTAATATGGCAAATAATGTTTTAAAGTTACACCATACTACGTCTCTTTTAATAATCTATTATACAGCTGCACATTATGGCCTGCCCTGTACTGGCAGGACAAATTTCACATCATGGCAATAAAAACTTTGACCAGAACTTCTTCCACGTTGCTTCTTCTGAATCTGAGTTTTGACAACTTGTTGAATTCTTCTTGACACAAAGTTATCTTGGGCTTTCCAACAGACACTGACCAGTGTTATTCTTTGACATGTAGAACAAACCCTCTGCTTCATTTGTTTTAACAAGACTAAGAGTCTATAGCCTTTCTTGTGGCTCTGTGGGGCTGTGCATTGAGATGAATGCTAATGTCAGCATGCAGATATTCTCACAATGACAATGCAAACATAAACATTTTAAGCAGGTGACCTTGTTCACCATCTTGTTATAGCATGTTAGCATGCTGACATTTACTAATTAGTATTAAACATAAAGCACAGTTCAGGCTGATGGGAATGTCTTTAATTTTGCAGGTATTTAGTCATAGACCAAATTATTGGACAAATTGGAATTTTGATATGATGGTGGCCCTAGACGAAAAGTCAGAAGATCATGAAAGTTAATGCAATTTATCCTGAAGGGGGCAATGAATATTTGTAGTGCATTTTATAATAACTCCTCCACATGCTTTTGAGCCATTTCCCTCAAAACCAAATGCCAACATTACTATGATGCTAGAGGCAAAGGCAGGTTATCACCAATATTAGTAGTTTCATCTTCTCAAGACCATCAATGTCTTTTCATGGCAACACATTAAGTAGTAAGATGTCTCAGTCTGGACCAAAGTGGTGGACGGACTGAAAGATCAACATTGCCGTGCCTGGAGCCGTGCCACTATCATGGCTAAAAATGACATATCCAACACTATCTGTGAAACTAAAGGAAATGCTTCTCAAATCTGTGCAACACTAAAGATCAATCTATCAACAATGTGCAGTGCTACAAAACCAGATCCAGAAACTACAGTACAGCTCAGAGGTAAAAGATGAAATCACTCCAGAGAGGTTTCTTCACCAGATTTCCTTAGCAGACTTCCTGACAGTATGAACCACATGTAAAGGCTTACTTACTTGTGTATTGAGTTACAGATGTACTCTGTCCTTCAGTAATGTTGTCATCTGCCACTGCAGTAACAGTTATTGTATACTGGACACCAGCAGTCAGGTTAGTAATATTTATATGTGTTTGAGTCACATTGACTCTCTTGTTTTGATTTTCAACAGTCCACTGTACTCTATAGAAAGATCTCTTTCCCTTTGGTTCAATCCAGTTCAGAAACACAGAGGATGTTGTGATTTCAGTGGAAGTGAGACTTGTGACAGCTTCAGGCTCTGTGAGTGAGAGGGGTGACAGAGCGGTCAAATGGATAGATAAAGAGCCACTAGATTCATCCTCTGGAGGCCACGAATGTTCTCAAAAAATGTCATTGCAAAACATTAAATAATTGAGGAGATATTTCAGTCTGGACCAATGTAGTAAAAGGACAGACAGATCAACATTGCTGTGCTTGAAGCCTATACGTGAAACTAAAAGGAATGCTCCTGAAATCTGCACGATACTTAAGAGACTTTCCATCAACAATATCCAGAGCTACAACACAGATCAAGAAACTACAGTACAGCTCAGAGTTAAAAGATGAAATCACTCCAGAGAGGTTTCTCCACCAGATTTCCTCAGCAGACTTCCTGACAGTATGAACCACATGTAAAGGCTTACTTACTTGTGTATAGAGTTACAGATGTACTCTGTCCTTCAGTAATGTTGTCATCTGCCACTGCAGTAACAGTTATTGTATACTGGACACCAGCAGTCAAGTTAGTAATATTTATATGTGTTTGAGTCACATTGTCACTCTTGTTTTCATTTCCATCAGTCCACTGTACTCTATAGAAAGATCTCTTTCCCTTTGGTTCAGTCCAGTTCAGAAACACAGAGGATGTTGTGATTTCAGTGACAGGGAGATCATTGACAGCTTCAGGCTCTGTGAGTGAGAGAGGGGTAATATGCAAATAATGTTTTAAAGTTACACCATACTACGTCTCTTTTAATAATCTATTATACAGCTGCACATTATGGCCTGCCCTGTACAGGCAGGACAAATTTCACATCATGGCGATAAAAACTTTGACCAGAACTTCTTCCACGTTGCTTCTTCTGAATCTGAGGTTTGACAACTTGTTGAATTCTTCTTGACACAAAGTTATCTTGGGCTTTCCAACAGACACTGACCAGTGTTATTCTTTAACATGTAGAACAAACCCTCTGCTTCATTTGTTTTAACAAGACTAAGAGTCTATAGCCTTTCTTGTGGCTCTGTGGGGCTGTGCATTGAGATGAATGCTAATGTCAGCATGCAGATATTCTCACAATGACAATGCAAACATAAACATTTTAAGCAGGTGACCTTGTTCACCATCTTGTTATAGCATGTTAGCATGCTGACATTTACTAATTAGTATTAAACATAAAGCACAGTTCAGGCTGATGGGAATGTCTTTAATTTTGCAGGTATTTAGTCATAGACCAAATTATTGGACAAATTGGAATTTTGATATGATGGTGGCCCTAGACGAAAAGTCAGAGGATCATGAAAGTTAATGCAATTTATCCTGAAGGGGGCAATGAATATTTGTAGTACATTTTATAATAACTCCTCCACATGCTTTTGAGCCATTTCCCTCAAAACCAAATGCCAACATTACTATGATGCTAGAGGCAAAGGCAGGTTATCACCAATATTAGTAGGTTCATCTTCTCAAGACCATCAATGTCTTTTCATGGCAACACATTAAGTAGTAAGATGTCTCAGTTTGGACCAAAGTGGTGGACGGACTGAAAGATCAACATTGCCGTGCCTGGAGCCGTGCCACTATCATGGCTAAAAATGACATATCCAACACTATCTGTGAAACTAAAGGAAATGCTTCTCAAATCTGTGCAACACTAAAGATCAATCTATCAACATTGTGCAGTGCTACAAAACCAGATCCAGAAACTACAGTACAGCTCAGAGGTAAAAGATGAAATCACTCCAGAGAGGTTTCTCCAACAGATTTCCTCAGCAGACTTCCTGACAGTATGAACCACATGTAAAGGCTTACTTACTTGTGTATCGAGTTACAGATGTACTCTGTCCTTCAGTAATGTTGTCATCTGCCACTGCAGTAACAGTTATTGTATACTGGACACCAGCAGTCAGGTTAGTAATTTTTATATGTGTTTGATTCACAGTGACACTCTCCTTTACATTTCCATCAGTCCACTGTACTCTATAGAAAGATCTCTTTCCCTTTGGTTCAGTCCAGTTCAGAAACACAGAGGATGTTGTGATTTCAGTGACAGGGAGACATTGCTAGCTTCAGGTTTTTTTTTAAAAGGGGGGGAACCCCATGGGGAAAAAATTACAGTGAAACAATATTTCTATGAGTATGCATTGACAACGTGACAAATTTAACTGACTATAAAAACTACTGATCACATTACATTTTCATTTAAATATCCATCAGTCCACTGTACTCTATAGAAAGATCTCTTTCCCTCTGGTTCAGTCCAGTTCAGAAACACAGAGGATGTTGTGATTTCAGTGGAAGTGAGATTTATGACAGCTTCAGGCTCTGTGAGTGAGAGGGGTGACAGAGCGGTCAAATGGATAGATAAAGAGTCAATAGATTCATCCTCTGGAGGCCATGAATGTTTGCAAAAAATGTCATTGCAAAACATTAAGTAATTGAGGAGATATTTCAGTCTGGACCAATGTAGTAGACGGACAGACAGATCAACATTGCTGTGCTTGAAGCCTATACATGAAACTAAAAGGAATGCTCCTGAAATCTGCACGACACCAAAGAGACGTTCCATCAACAATATCCAGAGCTACAACACAGATCCAGCAAGTAAAGTACAGCTCAGAGTTAAAAGATGAAATCACTCCAGAGAGGTTTCTCCACCAGATTTCCTCAGCAGACTTCCTGACAGTATGAACCACATGTAAAGGCTTACTTACTTGTGTATCGAGTTACAGATGTACTCTGTCCTTCAGTAATGTTGTCATCTGCCACTGCAGTAACAGTTATTGTATACTGGACACCAGCAGTCAGGTTAGTAATATTTATATGTGTTTGAGTCACATTGACACTCTTGTTTTCATTTCCATCAGTCCACTGTACTCTATAGAAAGATCTCTTTCCCTTTGGTTCAGTCCAGTTCAGAAACACAGAGGATGTTGTGATTTCAGTGACAAGGAGATTCCTGACAGCTTCAGGCTCTATGATGACAGAGGGGTAACAAGGAAAAAAAATTATAGTGAAAAATGATTTTTCTATGAGAAAGCACAGCAACAACGTCATGGAAAAAAGTTTAAACTTTAACTGACTACAATGCAGATAGCAAACTACTGCACATCTTACTTGTATACAGTGAAATTGTCTTTGCATCTCCTAAAGTCTCCTGATCTCCAGCCACTGTAATGACAGTGAAAGTGTACTGCCTCCGCAGTCAGTCAGAATGTTTATGTATGTGCTGATCACACTATATTCTGATTTAAATATCCACCAGTCCACTGTACTCTATAGAAAGATCTCTTTCCCTCTGGTTCAGTCCAGTTCAGAAACACAGAGGATGTTGTGATTTCAGTGAAAGGGAGATCCTTGACAGCTTCAGGCTCTGTGAGTGACAGAGGGGTAATATGCAAATAATGTTTTAAAGTTACACCATACTACGTCTCTTTTAATAATCTATTATACAGCTGCACATTATGGCCTGCCCTGTACAGGCAGGACAAATTTCACATCATGGCGATAAAAACTTTGACCAGAACTTCTTCCACGTTGCTTCTTTTGAATCTGAGTTTTGACAACTTGTTGAATTCTTCTTGACACAAAGTTATCTTGGGCTTTCCAACAGACACTGACCAGTGTTATTCTTTGACATGTAGAACAAACCCTCTGCTTCATTTGTTTTAACAAGACTAAGAGTCTATAGCCTTTCTTGTGGCTCTGTGGGGCTATGAGATGAAGTAATGTCAGCATGCAGGTATTCCCACAATGACAATGCAAACATGCACGTTTTAAGCAGGTGACCTTGTTCACCATCTTGGTTTAGCATGTTAGCATGCTAACATTTACTAATTAGCATTAAACATAAAGCACAGTTCAGGCTGATGGGAATGTCTTTAATTTTGCAGGTATTTAGTCATAGACCAAATTATTGGACAAATTGGAATTTTGATATGATGGTGGCCCTAGATGAAAAGTCAGAGGATCATGAAAAGTTAATGCAATTTATCCTGAAGGGGGCAATGAATATTTGTAGTACATTTTATAATAACTCCTCCACATGCTTTTGAGCCATTTCCCTCAAAACCAAATGCCAACATTACTATGATGCTAGAGGCAAAGGCAGGTTATCACCAATATTAGTAGTTTCATCTTCTCAAGACCATCAATGTCTTTTCATGGCAACACATTAAGTAGTAAGATGTCTCAGTCTGGACCAAAGTGGTGGACGGACTGAAAGATCAACATTGCCGTGCCTGGAGCCGTGCCACTATCATGGCTAAAAATGACATATCCAACACTATCTGTGAAACTAAAGGAAATGCTTCTCAAATCTGTGCAACACTAAAGATCAATCTATCAACAATGTGCAGTGCTACAAAACCAGATCCAGAAACTACAGTACAGCTCAGAGGTAAAAGATGAAATCACTCCAGAGAGGTTTCTTCAACAGATTTCCTCAGCAGACTTCCTGACAGTATGAACCACATGTAAAGGCTTACTTACTTGTGTATCGAGTTACAGATGTACTCTGTCCTTCAGTAATGTTGTCATCTGCCACTGCAGTAACAGTTATTGTATACTGGACACCAGCAGTCAGGTTAGTAATATTTATATGTGTTTGAGTCACATTGACACTCTTGTTTTCATTTCCAACAGTCCACTGTACTCTATAGAAAGATCTCTTTCCCTTTGGTTCAATCCAGTTCAGAACCACAGAGGATGTTGTGATTTCAGTGAAAGGGAGATCCTTGACAGCTTCAGGCTCTGTGAGTGACAGAGGGGTAATATGCAAATAATGTTTTAAAGTTACACCATACTACGTCTCTTTTAATAATCTATTATACAGCTGCACATTATGGCCTGCCCTGTACAGGCAGGACAAATTTCACATCATGGCGATAAAAACTTTGACCAGAACTTCTTCCACGTTTCTTCCTCTGAATCTGAGGTTTGACAACTTGTTGAATTCTTCTTGACACAAAGTTATCTTGGGCTTTCCAACAGACACTGACCAGTGTTATTCTTTGACATGTAGAACAAACCCTCTGCTTCATTTGTTTTAACAAGACTAAGAGTCTATAGCCTTTCTTGTGGCTCTGTGGGGCTTATGTCAGCATGCAGGTATTCCCACAATGACAATGCAAACATGCACGTTTTAAGCAGGTGACCTTGTTCACCATCTTAGTTTAGCATGTTAGCATGCTGACATTTACTAATTAGCATTAAACATAAAGCACAGTTCAGGCTGATGGGAATGTCTTTAATTTTGCAGGTATTTAGTCATAGACCAAATTATTGGACAAATTGGAATTTTGATATGATGGTGGCCCTAGACGAAAAGTCAGAGGATCATGAAAGTTAATGCAATTTATCCTGAAGGGGGCAATGAATATTTGCAGTACATTTTATAATAACTCCTCCACATGCTTTTGAGCCATTTCCCTCAAAACCAAATGCCAACATTACTATGATGCTAGAGGCAAAGGCAGGTTATCACCAATATTAGTAGTTTCATCTTCTCAAGACCATCAATGTCTTTTCATGGCAACACATTAAGTAATAAGATGTCTCAGTCTGGACCAAAGTGGTGGACGGACTGAAAGATCAACATTGCCGTGCCTGGAGCCGTGCCACTATCATGGCTAAAAATGACATATCCAACACTATCTGTGAAACTAAAGGAAATGCTTCTCAAATCTGTGCAACACTAAAGATCAATCTATCAACAATGTGCAGTGCTACAAAACCAGATCCAGAAACTACAGTACAGCTCAGAGGTAAAAGATGAAATCACTCCAGAGAGGTTTCTTCAACAGATTTCCTCAGCAGACTTCCTGACAGTATGAACCACATGTAAAGGCTTACTTACTTGTGTATCGAGTTACAGATGTACTCTGTCCTTCAGTAATGTTGTCATCTGCCACTGCAGTAACAGTTATTGTATACTGGACACCAGCAGTCAAGTTAGTAATATTTATATGTGTTTGAGTCACATTGACACTCTTGTTTTCATTTCCAACAGTCCACTGTACTCTATAGAAAGATCTCTTTCCCTTTGGTTCAATCCAGTTCAGAACCACAGAGGATGTTGTGATTTCAGTGAAAGGGAGATCCTTGACAGCTTCAGGCTCTGTGAGTGACAGAGGGGTAATATGCAAATAATGTTTTAAAGTTACACCATACTACGTCTCTTTTAATAATCTATTATACAGCTGCACATTATGGCCTGCCCTGTACAGGCAGGACAAATTTCACATCATGGCGATAAAAACTTTGACCAGAACTTCTTCCACGTTTCTTCCTCTGAATCTGAGGTTTGACAACTTGTTGAATTCTTCTTGACACAAAGTTATCTTGGGCTTTCCAACAGACACTGACCAGTGTTATTCTTTAACATGTAGAACAAACCCTCTGCTTCATTTGTTTTAACAAGACTAAGAGTCTATAGCCTTTCTTGTGGCTCTGTGGGGCTTATGTCAGCATGCAGGTATTCCCACAATGACAATGCAAACATGCACGTTTTAAGCAGGTGACCTTGTTCACCATCTTAGTTTAGCATGTTAGCATGCTGACATTTACTAATTAGCATTAAACATAAAGCACAGTTCAGGCTGATGGGAATGTCTTTAATTTTGCAGGTATTTAGTCATAGACCAAATTATTGGACAAATTGGAATTTTGATATGATGGTGGCCCTAGACGAAAAGTCAGAGGATCATGAAAGTTAATGCAATTTATCCTGAAGGGGGCATGAATATTTGTAGTACATTTTATAATAACTCCTCCACATGCTTTTGAGCCATTTCCCTCAAAACTAAATGCCAACATTACTATGATGCTAGAGGCAAAGGCAGGTTATCACCAATATTAGTAGTTTCATCTTCTCAAGACCATCAATGTCTTTTCATGGCAACACATTAAGTAGTAAGATGTCTCAGTCTGGACCAAAGTGGTGGACGGGCTGAAAGATCAACATTGCCGTGCCTGGAGCCGTGCCACTATCATGGCTAAAAATGACATATCCAACACTATCTGTGAAATTAAAGGAAATGCTTCTCAAATCTGTGCAACACTAAAGATCAATCTATCAACAATGTGCAGTGCTACAAAACCAGATCCAGAAACTACAGTACAGCTCAGAGGTAAAAGATGAAATCACTCCAGAGAGGTTTCTCCACCAGATTTCCTCAGCAGACTTCCTGACAGTATGAACCACATGTAAAGGCTTACTTACTTGTGTATCGAGTTACAAGTGTACTCTGTCCTTCAGTAATTTTGTCATCTGCCACTGCAGTAACAGTTATTGTATACTGGACACCAGCAGTCAGGTTAGTAATATGTATATGTGTTTGAGTCACATTGTCACTCTCCTTTACATTTCCATCAGTCCACTGTACTCTATAGAAAGATCTCTTTCCCTTTGGTTCAATCCAGTTCAGAACCACAGAGGATGTTGTGATTTCAGTGAAAGGGAGATCCTTGACAGCTTCAGGCTCTGTGAGTGACAGAGGGGTAATATGGCAAATAATGTTTTAAAGTTACACCATACTACGTCTCTTTGAATAATCTATTATACAGCTGCACATTATGGCCTGCCCTGTACAGACAGGACAAATTTCACATCATGGCGATAAAAACTTTGACCAGAACTTCTTCCACGTTGCTTCTTCTGAATCTGAGATTTGACAACTTGTTGAATTCTTCTTGACACAAAGTTATCTTGGGCTTTCCAACAGACACTGACCAGTGTTATTCTTTGACATGTAGAACAAACCCTCTGCTTCATTTGTTTTAACAAGACTAAGAGTCTATAGCCTTTCTTGTGGCTCTGTGGGGCTGTGCATTGAGCTGAATGCTAATGTCAGCATGCAGATATTCTCACAATGACAATGCAAACATAAACATTTTAAGCAGGTGACCTTGTTCACCATCTTGTTATAGCATGTTAGCATGCTGACATTTACTAATTAGTATTAAACATAAAGCACAGTTCAGGCTGATGGGAATGTCTTTAATTTTGCAGGTATTTAGTCATAGACCAAATTATTGGACAAATTGGAATTTTGATATGATGGTGGCCCTAGACGAAAAGTCAGAGGATCATGAAAGTTAATGCAATTTATCCTGAAGGGGGCAATGAATATTTGTAGTACATTTTATAATAACTCCTCCACATGCTTTTGAGCCATTTCCCTCAAAACCAAATGCCAACATTACTATGATGCTAGAGGCAAAGGCAGGTTATCACCAATATTAGTAGTTTCATCTTCTCAAGACCATCAATGTCTTTTCATGGCAACACATTAAGTAGTAAGATGTCTCAGTCTGGACCAAAGTGGTGGACGGACTGAAAGATCAACATTGCCGTGCCTGGAGCCGTGCCACTATCATGGCTAAAAATGACATATCCAACACTATCTGTGAAACTAAAGGAAATGCTTCTCAAATCTGTGCAACACTAAAGATCAATCTATCAACAATGTGCAGTGCTACAAAACCAGATCCAGAAACTACAGTACAGCTCAGAGGTAAAAGATGAAATCACTCCAGAGAGGTTTCTTCAACAGATTTCCTCAGCAGACTTCCTGACAGTATGAACCACATGTAAAGGCTTACTTACTTGTGTATCGAGTTACAGGTGTACCCTGTCCTTCAGTAAGGTTGTCATCTGCAACTGCAGTAACAGTTATTGTATACTGGACACCAGCAGTCAGGTTAGGAATATTTATATGTGTTTGATTCACAGTGACACTCTTGTTTTCATTTTCATCAGTCCACTGTACTCTATAGAACAATCTCTTTCCCTCTGGTTCAGTCCAGTTCAGAAACACAGAGGATGTTGTGATTTCAGTGGAAGTGAGACTTGTGACAGCTTCATGGTCTGTGAGTGAGAGGGGTGACAGAGCGGTCAAATGGATAGATGAAGAGTCAATAGATTCATCCTCTGGAGGCCATGAATGTTTGCAAAAAATGTCATTGCAAAACATTAAGTAATTGAGGAGATCTTTCAGTCTGGACCAATGTAGTAGACGGACAGAAAGATCAACATTGCTGTGCCTGAAGCCTATACGTGAAACTAAAAGGAATGCTCCTGAAATCTGCACGATACCAAAGAGACGTTCCATCAACAATATCCAGAGCTACAACACAGATCCAGCAAGTAAAGTACAGCTCAGAGGTAAAACATGAAATCACTCCAGAGATGTTTCTCCACCAGATTTCCTCAGCAGACTTCCTGACAGTATAAGCCACATCTAAAGGCTTACTTACTTGTGTATGGAGTTACAGATGTACTCTGTCCTCCAGTAATGTTGTCATCTGCCACTGCAGTAACAATGATTGTATCCTGGACACCAGCAGTCAGGTTAGTAATATCTTTATTTGTTTGAGTCACATTGTCACTCTCTACTTTTACAACAGTCCGCCGTACTCTATAGAAAGATCTCTTTCCCTTTGGTTCAGTCCAGTTCAGAAACACAGAGGATGTTGTGATTTCAGTGGAAGTGAGACTTGTGACAGCTTCATGGTCTGTGAGTGAGAGGGGTGACAGAGCGGTCAAATGGATAGATGAAGAGTCAATAGATTCATCCTCTGGAGGCCATGAATGTTTGTAAAAAATGTCATTGCAAAACATTAAGTAATTGAGGAGATATTTCAGTCTGGACCAATGTAGTAGACGGACAGAAAGATCAACATTGCTGTGCTTGAAGCCTATACGTGAAACTAAAAGGAATGCTCCTGAAATCTGTACGACACCAAAGAGACGTTCCATCAACAATATCCAGAGCTACAACACAGATCCAGCAAGTAAAGTACAGCTCAGAGTTAAAAGATGAAATCACTCCAGAGAGGTTTCTCCACCAGATTTCCTCAGCAGACTTCCTGACAGTATGAACCACATGTAAAGGCTTACTTACTTGTGTATCGAGTTACAGATGTACTCTGTCCTTCAGTAATGTTGTCATCTGCCACTGCAGTAACAGTTATTGTATACTGGACACCAGCAGTCAGGTTAGTAATATTTATATGTGTTTGATTCACAGTGACACTCTTGTTTTCATTTTCAACAGTCCACTGTACTCTATAGAAAGATATCTTTCCCTCTGGTTCAGTCCAGTTCAGAAACACAGAGGATGTTGTGGTTTCAGTGACAGGGAGATCATTGACGGCTTCAGGCTCTATGATTGACAGAGGGGTGAACGCCATGGAGAAAAAATTAAGGTGAAACATGATTTATCTATGAGAAAGCACAGCAACAACGTCAGGGGAAAAAAGTTTAAACTTTAACTGACTACAATGCAGATAGCAAACTACTGCACATCTTACTTGTATACAGTGAAATTGTCTTTGCATCTCCTAAAGTCTCCTGATCTCCAGCCACTGTAATGACAGTGAAAGTGTACTGCTCTCCTGCAGTCAGCTCAGAGATGTTTATGTATGTGCTGATCACACTACGATTCTGATTTAAATATCCATCAGTCCACTGTACTCTATAGAAAGATCTCTTTCCCTCTGGTTCAGTCCAGTTCAGAAACACAGAGGATGTTGTGATTTCAGTGACAGGGAGATCCTTGACAGCTTCAGGCTCTGTGAGTGACAGAGGGGTAATATGCAAATAATGTTTTAAAGTTACACCATACTACGTCTCTTTTAATAATCTATTATACAGCTGCACATTATGGCCTGCCCTGTACTGGCAGGACAAATTTCACATCATGGCGATAAAAACTTTGACCAGAACTTCTTCCACGTTGCTTCCTCTGAATCTGAGGTTTGACAACTTGTTGAATTCTTCTTGACACAAAGTTATCTTGGGCTTTCCAACAGACACTGACCAGTGTTATTCTTTGACATGTAGAACAAACCCTCTGCTTCATTTGTTTTAACAAGACTAAGAGTCTATAGCCTTTCTTGTGGCTCTGTGGGGCTGTGCATTGAGCTGAATGCTAATGTCAGCATGCAGATATTCTCACAATGACAATGCAAACATAAACATTTTAAGCAGGTGACCTTGTTCACAATCTTAGTTTAGCATGTTAGCATGCTAACATTTACTAATTAGTATTAAACATAAAGCACAGTTCAGGCTGATGGGAATGTCTTTAATTTTGCAGGTATTTAGTCATAGACCAAATTATTGGACAAATTGGAATTTTGATATGATAGTGGCCCTAGACGAAAAGTCAGAGGATCATGAAAGTTAATGCAATTTATCCTGAAGGGGGCAATGAATATTTGTAGTACATTTTATAATAACTCCTCCACATGCTTTTGAGCCATTTCCCTCAAAACCAAATGCCAACATTACTATGATGCTAGAGGCAAAGGCAGGTTATCACCAATATAAGTAGTTTCATCTTCTCAAGACCATCAGTGTCTTTTCATGGCAACACATTAAGTAGTAAGATGTCTCAGTCTGGACCAAAGTGGTGGACGGACTGAAAGATCAACATTGCCGTGCCTGGAGCCGTGCCACTATCATGGCTAAAAATGACATATCCAACACTATCTGTGAAATTAAAGGAAATGCTTCTCAAATCTGTGCAACACTAAAGATCAATCTATCAACATTGTGCAGTGCTACAAAACCAGATCCAGAAACTACAGTACAGCTCAGAGGTAAAAGATGAAATCACTCCAGAGAGGTTTCTTCAACAGATTTTCTCAGCAGACTTCCTGACAGTATGAACCACATGTAAAGGCTTACTTACTTGCGTATTGAGTTACAGATGTACTCTGTCCTTCAGTAATGTTGTCATCTGCCACTGCAGTAACAGTTATTGTATACTGGACACCAGCAGTCAGGTTAGTAATATTTATATGTGTTTGAGACACATTGTCACTCTCCTTTACATTTCCATCAGTCCACTGTACTCTATAGAAAGATCTCTTTCCCTCTGGTTCAGTCCAGTTCAGAAAAACAGAGGATGTTGTGATTTCAGTGACATTGAGATTATTGACAGCTTCAGGCTCTGTGAGTGAGAGAAGAGAGTATTACCAGCACAGTATTATCATCTATTTGTATCTGAGATATATATATATAGGGTTTATTAATACTGACAGTCCTGTGCTGAATCTGCAGCAATGCTCCAGGTACTATGTTGTTCAGAGTCATTTAAGTAGACATGGTTACGGTCTGGAACATAAGTGATTAAACAAAGTTGACAGACTTACTCGTTGTGAAACTTTTGCAGCAGTTCAAACAGCCAAAGTTGATTTCATAGATTGCTCCAGGAGTCAAATTAGTTATTGAACCACTTCCAGAGGGGACGCCCTCAATGGATAAGTTGCAGTTTGGTGTAAGTTCAAATGTGACATTCGTTGTGGTTGTTGTTACATTTTCTGTTACATTGCTTTCACATTTAATAACTGAGGGGCAGAAGAAGAAAAACAAGAGAATTCAGCACAAATAGTTAAAAAAAATAATAATAATTTTACAGTGTTGACATATTGCCAGGAGTGATGTCTTTACAAGCTGTATATTAAACACAAAATACGGCACTGTGTGAGAAATTATATCCTTTTTAGTCTACAGAAATAAATCACCAAACATGTAAAAGACAAAATAAAGAAACAAAACTCGTACTTACGGGGACATTGTGCTTCAGAGATCTGTGCAGACGAGGACAGAGAAAAGCAAAGTCAGTCATCTTACACCAGCAGAGGTCAGCATTGAGTTTAAAAGCATCAACTAGAAACCCAACCACATGTTCAATGTCACAGGGCATCAGTAAATTTAGCTACAACTGATATTACAAGCCTGTACCCTGAACTTCTTCAGTTCCTTAAACACCAGCCTTTTGTACACCTGGGTCATAGATATAGGCACATATAGTATATTGTTATCTAGCCCTAGTTCTTTGTTAATTAATCTTTTTGACCAGTAAAATGTAGGTATACCAAGTCTAAACAAACTAGAATCAGCCTGTAAAAAATAACCATCTTGTGTAAGCTTTTCATTAGGAAATCTAAACTTCTAATACATAATAATAAACTCGTAATTCATCCAGCTATAAAGAGGAAAAATGGTTAAAGATTAGGTTGTAGTTTATTCATCAAGACACTCCCCTTTTCAGTGGTGGAAGCAAACAACAAAAGCTCAGTATATTGGGATAAAGTTCCATTGTAACTAATGGAAAGATAATGTTTGAGGGCCAGTTAATACAAACAAGGAAGTAAACTCTTTTACCGACCAGGTATTATCAGGGTGTAACCTTTCCCTCAGGTAAAGTTATGTGGGGAACTGCTATTAAAAACACTGTTCTTCCTCCATGTAAGATTACAGCTACAAACAATTGCTGATTACAGAAAACACCAATGTCACAAACTCAAGCATGTCGACACAAAACTCCAGCTCTGTATTTTTCACTTTGGTTATAATCTGTATCTCGGCATCAGGCCTCTGATTCCACATTACTTATTAGCCAAAACTTAAACAGCCCAGAGTCACTCACTGACATGTTGCCTTTCAGTCTGTTTACCATACAGCTAAACATTAAACGCATGGCATCATCGCTCAAACCTGCATCATTCTCTCCTCCACAAAGGTCACAGATAGGGTCAATCATTAACGCCGAACAATGACAGAAGAGGCTTTACTGCAATCCAGCATCACACAGTCTAATGAGGTTGTAAAATACTTTTAAATTAAATGCAATATGACAATATTTTTTTCAAGAGGAATGCCTTGTCTTCTACTGGAAACCAGTAACCTAACATCTGTTGGGCTGTACAGAGCACAATATTAAAGGCCAAAAGCAGTACTCGCTCAGTATGCGACTCGAGTCCAGTTGTGTTATTACCTGTCAACCATATTTTTAACATTAGAAACATTGCTTTGCACAGTCTCAAAAATTACCATAATGTCAAATGTTAATTTAAGTTAATTCAAATTATTCAAATCAGTCAAATCATTTGGTTGATAAAGAGTCAGATAGCCCAATGTGACCTCACAAACAGTCCAAAAAACCCCAAAGATATTTAATAACAATGTTTTAAAACAGAGAAAAGCAGCAAATCATTACAGAAATATTTGGTATTTTTTGCTGAAATATAAATGAATCAATTATTTTCTGAAAATAAACTAATTAATCAACAACTATCATAAAGACAAGATTTACTACACGCCTAATATGCTAATTAATTATAATAAGCAGCTGACTGTATATTTGTAATTCTAATGTTTTTAACAATTTGTCTTTCTTCTTTTCTTTTCATTGCTATGTAGGGACATTGGCAATATTGTCTTTGCAACTTTAAATTCGACATTTTACATAGAATAAATTAGAACGTAATAGACCTAACAACTCATGAATAGCCCGACCAGGAAACACAGAAAGAAAAGGTCTGTTCTGCATTCAACCTTACCCTTTGCATCAACCCATCCCTAGAGCCCGCAACCTCTGCTTATCTTTTCTTTTTCTATTCATAACATCGACCCTTCCCTTCCTTCCACTCCTCTGGGACTCTATTCTTCTTTCTGAAGTACAACGCTGCCACACAGTGGCACATAATGCGTTTAAGAGTTCAGTACTCTTTGAGGGTCTGGTAAAAGGTGTTAACGTGTGTATTAGAAGGTCAGAAATATAACATTTACTGTCTGTCATCATCAGCACAAGTATGACATTCATTTTAGTGAAATATAATTCATATGTATGTGTTTTATCTTTAGCAAAAGTCAGCATTTGAAGTATTCAAAGTCTTCTTGAAACCTCAAACATAGCCAGCCAACTATTTGAATCCGGTATGAAAATAATCCTGTCACTTCGAGTGAATTTTGTACATTAACAGGAAAAACAGCCTTTATGAGGAAGTATGACTATACTTCTGCTGTTTGTGCTAGGTGTTAGCATGGCTGAACTTCACACAAACGCCCTGTCAGGGAGAGTGTGAATAGGGGTTAGACCATTTCTCGCATATAGTTCTCAAAAATGTATTTATATTTAAATAAAGATATTATTATAAATCATGCAATACACTGAATAGATTCAATAAGGGAAGTAAAAGGATTTGAATGACTGAATGACTGAATTCAATGCTAGATTAAGAACCTAACAAAGTGCTTTACAGTGAAGAGAAAAAGCAAATGCTATGAAAACCTCACCTGTCTTTATCAAACTTTAAAAAAGCTACTTTTTAACTCTTTTCGCTCTTTGCTAATTCACACATTGTCAACGTTTTTGTTTCTTTGTGGCATTTTCCACTACATTTGACTGTGGGTGAAGACACTGAGTGAACAGAGACAAACATTGCCGAAAATCTGCGAAATGTACAGCTGAGTGAAGAGTGACCACCCCGGAGAGCAAGAACAGTGCAGTTTGGGCTAAAATTAGGCTGTGGAGAACTATATTTAGTCACTTAAACCCATTTTAACATAAAGAACAAGACTTTCAATTTTATTTATTGTCAACAAATCCACTAAACAGACCAAAACCAACAATTAACTAATCCTACCAACAAGTATTTCCTGTGTGGCCAAAGCCTGATATATCTTCCTCTGTGTTATAGTAAGGCTGCAAGATATGGCCAAAGAAGAATCATCAGCACATAGTTATCACAGATTGCGATATGATTCACAATTGAATGGTAAATGTACTTACATAATGCCTATCTACTCTCCAGACGAAGCACTTTACACTACATGCCACATTCACACACATTGCATATGCTGATGGTGAAGGCCATCACAGGAAGAAATGAGTTTGTTCACATACACACGCAGCATCGGGAGGAATTTGGGGTTCAGTGTTTTGCAAAAGGAAACTTAAACATACAGCAGGAGGAGCCGGGGATCGAACCACCAACCTTCTGATTAGTGGATGACCCACTCTACCTCCCCTGCCCCCAATTAGTAGAAATTATCATTTTTGCATTCACAATTTAAATTTTCTTTGAAAATCAATATTAAATGGGGTTGCACCAGTTTAGAAACAAAAACATATGTTTGAATATAAAATTATAACTACCTGGTTTCTATTTACTGAATTGGATTTAAGGAATGTGAAGCTCTTTGTGTCAGACTGTTACAGTTGGAAACAACTGGCTAAAGCAAGTTGCTGCTGGACTTCAAAAACAGGACACATTCAAATGATGAAATGGCTGTGATTTTAACTGAGTGTCCGTATGAGGTCATTTGCCTTTATGAACCCACAGAAAATAGCTTGGCGCTGCTCCAGCTTTTAGCCTCTTTTAGCACTACCACTGAGAATCACAAAAGTCACACATTTTTAAATCTTACACATATATGGTTAACATAAATTGTTATCTTCTTTTTTTCTCTTTAAACATGGCCTGTTTAATCACATTTAGTTCTAATCTGTATTGTTATTGGTTGAATGAGGTTATGTTGCTGTCAAAGAGTGGAGTGGATCAAACATTAAAAGTCAGCTGGATCTTTTTTTGTTATTGGTAAGCAGTTAACTAGGTATATAACAAAAGGTACTTTTACCTTTTAACCTGCAGCTTAAGCCAACATGAAATGTGAACAGCTAAAATGTCATGACAGCTGAAATCCATTTGTTGATGAAGATCATATGATATCATCAAAAGCTCCTGAACCTCTACCTATAGGACCTTGAGTCCTGCTGTTTCCGAGGTCAACAATCGTGTCTAAACCTCGACAAACATATAATTAGTATTTAGTAGGTGTACATATTTAGTTCTATTTAAAAGCTATTTAAAAGATATAAAACTATTTAAAAGATATAAAACTGCTCGTTGTCAGAGCAGAATCTGACTAAACTAAACCTCTTCAAGCTCCACAAGAACATGGTAAAGGTCACATACCAGAATGTGAAAGCTGGATCTTAATACTATGACAATCTCATGTTTTCATACAAATATTCATGTTAAAACTGACCTGCGGGGCTGTGACTTCTCTGAGTTCTCAAACGTTTTATTTCCCTTGGCGCGCCTCCTAAGTATCACTTATTTTCTCCTGACTAAATAAACAAAACAACGTCTCAAGCCATTATGCCTTGGCACTGACTCAGAGAGCAGAAATAAACCCAAGCTCAAAGTCCCATTTGGGAAATACTGCCCTAGAAATACTGAAGTTCAAATAATGGACGTCATTTTTTTTCAAAGGATCCACTGGGACTCAACTCCACCCATCTGTACATCCTCCCTCCGTGCTTTAGCCCTCAGCTCTATAGTCTCAGTCTCATGCTTTTAAAGGACCTTATAGGATCACTTATTCATTAACATTTCTACACTTAATATGTCTCACGTATATGTTGGTGTTTGTGTAAAATCACTTATAATAGCAGCTTATTATTCTACTGAAGCCACTAAACGAAAAAGCTTGTTGTTAGCCCACATGGCTCAAAGTCTGAAGATATACAGTTCTTAGAAGCTCTCCAGGGTCTTGTAACCACTCGAGGAGTGATATTTAATGTTCATTGTGAAGCATACTTGGCTGGGACTCTTTGACCCTTTTGCCCTGTGTACTGTATCTGTGCCCTTTGACTGGGCCCGTCTACGGGAGGAGGAGGAGGAGGAGGAAATGGCTGTACTGACCACTATATAAACATTACATCAACCCTAAAGGCAGCCAGCCTGCCACTCTTTGATTCCTTTTTCATTCCTAACAGTCTGCCTTTGCTGCTCGCCTC